AACATAAGCAATTCTTTAATGCGTATAGGCTGTGTCTTATTGCACTCTGTAAGTAAGTAAGCGGCGCCTATGGTCGGTAGGTAAGCTGGTGCGGGGCGTGACCCCGAAGCCCCACCGGGAGACAATTCCTCCTCCTATTCGCTCCTCCCAGGTTCGTGTGTGTTGCAGGACGAGGGCGTCGCGCCCCGCGAACACCACTTTTGAGACTTCTGACGAGATCGCAGCATCGCCCTTTGCGAACTGATCCTGTCAAAAGGGTTAGTGCGGGCGGGCGGTACGCTCTCGTCCTGCGGTGTAAAACACTTTACTAATCTTCAAATCACTCCTCTAGGCACCCTCTACTCTACACGCTTTCGGTCGCTAAAAGAGACACCCTGTATTCGATCCGCCATCCCCATTATTATTTCAATCTTCCGATTCGTTTTTCCTTTACATCTCTTAGGTCGGCAAAGGCTTCCTCCAGCCACTTGAAACTTTCTGTACCCTGAGGTCGATGGGAGAAGCCACAGCAGATGAGGTAACGAACGTACACATTACACTGGAAATGCAAGTGTGTGAATGTCGTTCACCTGCAGGTGAGCGACATTCCATTCGTACACTTAGGGGGGTAAAGGTATGAATTTTTCCTGGAAATTTCACACGCAGGTGAGCGACATTCACACACTTGCATTTCCAGTGTAAACTCACGACTCCCGTTTTACGGGTAATGATGCTATGCATATGTAACGCTCCTAGATCAGCAACTTCCGAGAAATTGTTGCCTCGAGCCCAGTCGTGGTGTCCGCAGCTGGCTTTTGGGACATCGACCGACATTCACTCAGTTCGGTAATTTGCTGGGAAACTCTAATATCTCTGATTGCCTCTAATTTGCGACAATTGTACTTTAATCTGTTCACTCTTACAGATTATGGCCACATCTGTCGGGTATCTCATCGTTCTGATCCAGTTCCGAGCTTCTCCAGAATCTGTTTTGAAAACTCTCAGAAATAGTACTACTACTGTCGATGTTGCGTAAATCCGTAGGCAAAACCGCACTTCATGTTTTTGTAGCGTGGAAGCAGGAAGGGCGGGTGATCCTCGCCGTCTTTTTTCCCACTTATACTGTACCAGGTGGCTGATTAACCCCGCTCACTTGGTTATGCTGTACCGCACGCACGAGTGCGGGCGGGTTGCCTACTCGCTCGGCCCGTAAGGCGCCGTGGACAGGGGCGATAAGCCCACCCGCACTCGTGCGTGCTGCCGACTGATTCCGAAGAGCGCTCTCCTATACCTTCCGTATAGCTCCATCCTTGTCGCACTCATGGAGCAGCTCCCCTTGAGCGCTCTCCGGAATCAGTCTGCTGTACAGCATAACCACAGAGGTGAGCGGGGTTACTGGATGCATAAGGCGTGCAGGCGGGCTCGCCATGGCATCTTACGGCCCCGTGAAAGTATGCAACCCAGTGAACGTAATCATCCAGTACAGTACTGGAAGCAGAAAAAAAAGACGGCGCGGATCACCCACCCTGTATTCACACCTTTCAAACTGATGGATAAAGCTCTCTCTTTCTGTTTCTTTACAAAAATAATAAAAACCTGAACTTGCCAATTTCCAGTTGACTTGTCATGGCATTGCATTTTTTCTGGGCATATAACACCCCAAAACTGACACTCTAACCCCCTAAGATGCACAGCCGCAAGTAGCGTGTTAAATATGATTTTACATCGTAGGAATGTACTTTGCGGGAAACAATCCAGGGGGGAACTCTGTGGCAAATGGGAGGACTGTCGTAAGTTTTTTGGACTAAGTTTTCAGGAAACAGAGAAAACGTCTTCCGCATGATATCAAACTAAAAACAATTTAAAATGTAAGCGTAGACCTTCTGAATGTATAGGCAATTGTCTAAATTCTTTTACCTTCTAGTAGTGACCTTCCACAAGCAAAATTGAGTTACGTCAAAAAGATTTTAGTTCTAATTTGGGGAAGAGTGGCGTATGTCCACTTATGACAAATGAAATTCTACTAGTTTTTTGGCAGTCAGGCGTAAGTCCACTTGCGACAAATTTCCTATCAAGATGAGGACAAGGATACTGCAGGACAGCTAAATTTATGCTAGACGCACATTGTCTAGCTTTGAGACGGGCTTAGTGGATACTAGTAAAAGAAAAATATTTAATGGAATGACTATCATTTTTTTGAGCATAACGTCGTAAGTATACTTGTTCCACTAAAATTTCAATTGATAATATGGTAAAGTGGCGTAACTTGACTTACGACATCTGATACAGCAAAGTTTCTCAAGCCAAGTGGCGTAAGTGGACTTGCGCCATTTTTGCTTTAAAGTGAACATCTAATTTGGAGTTACGACATATTTCACCACTATCTACCTCCCAAACTATGCCTCTGACATGTTTTTTGAGGAAAAGTAAATTGTAGAGCTAGACCGGCTGAATACGAATACGTTAAAAAGTCACTTTGTGACATAAGTGGACTTACGACAGTCTTCCCATTTGCCACAGAACTGGGGTGATGGGTGATGGCTGTAGTTTGCTCCAGTGGAGTCCCATCTTCACATTTTCACACCAACTCACGTAGACGTGGACGCGACTTACTTTAAATTTCTGGATTGGTTTCCGCCCGCATTGTGCCAACCTTACCACATAACGACACCGGGGAGAATGGAAGACGGAAGGGTACGTTCCTGCAGTACACCCCACCCCTCTGACAGCTGTTTCTCCCGAAAAACCCGCTCCGCCTCCGCCTCCGCTCACCCCGCCACCCCCTCTCCTCTTGTGAAAAGAATATTGTTTATGCTTAGGGAGTCGGCGAAACGCTGATTTATCACATTTAATGATGGATTACGAATTTAAAATAAAAACTTCTAATGAACGGACAAAAGTCGAAGATTTATTTGAGTTTGAGGGTTGTAAAGTGGGAAGAGGAACCTATGGTCATGTGTACAAAGCGAAACGGAAAGACTCGTAAGTGAGGTTACATTATGTTTACATACTATGGATTCTGTTTGATATTATTCTTATAGTAAAAAGTGAAGTTTCCTCGTTTGGTTTAAAAATCTATGGCTTCCTCAAATTTGCACCCTCAAGGAAATGTTCCATTTAGTTCATACTGTGCCAAAGTTTTGATGAGCAGTCTCACTAGCAAATAGGTCGTCACAACTAATAGATTCCTTGCCGAGACAAATTAATTTAAAAAAATAAAATAATTTCATGACCTTTTTATTGCAGAACGGAGAAAGATAAAGACAATGTTAAGGACTATGCCTTAAAACAAATAGAAGGGACTGGACTGTCCATGTCAGCCTGCCGTGAAATTGCTGTAAGTCTAATGTAATTAAGTGTGCATCCATAGGTTCTAAACAATAATTTTGACATTTCTATGTTCCCTTAGCTTTTACGAGAACTGAAGCATCCAAACGTGATAAATTTAATTAGGGTATTTTTATCACACAATGACAGAAAAGTTTGGCTACTGTTTGACTTTGCTGAACATGATCTTTGGGTAATTATTGTTATGTTTCGTCTTGTAATTTTTACAGAACAAAATCTGACTATGTTTTATCGAATTTCAGCACATAATTAAATTTCACCGAGCTGCAAAAGCAAACAAGAAACCTCTCATGGTTGCTAAAGGAATGGTTAAATCTCTATTATATCAAATTTTGGATGGCATTCATTATCTTCATTCAAATTGGGTTCTCCACAGGGATTTGGTAAACCTAGATTGTTTTTGTAACCATTCAAGCATGTGAGTGGTTTGGTAACAAATAATGGTGTTTTTCATTTTAATTCTTTAAAATTCTTTCAGAAACCTGCCAATATTTTAGTTATGGGTGAAGGAATCGAAAGAGGAAGAGTAAAGATTGCTGATATGGGATTTGCTCGTCTCTTCAATGCTCCCCTTAAACCCTTAGCAGATTTAGACCCAGTTGTTGTGACTTTTTGGTACCGCGCTCCAGAACTTCTACTTGGAGCTAGGCATTACACAAAGGCTATTGGTGAGTTATTCAGAGCTTATAGAATGTTTCATTTGGTGCTGTTGATTTTGGTAATAAGACTTTTCTCCTATTCTTTCTCCAGACATATGGGCTATAGGTTGTATTTTTGCTGAGCTCCTTACTTCTGAACCAATATTTCACTGTAGACAGGAAGACATTAAAACTAGCAACCCTTATCATCATGATCAGTTGGATAGGTATATGTCCATTATTTTAGTGAGTTGTCCATTTTAATCAATACTCTAATTTAAAGCAATTTCCTCAAATTCCAGGATATTCAATGTCATGGGCTTTCCACTGGAGAAAGAATGGGAAGATATTAGGAAAATGCCTGAACACCCTACTTTAATAAAGGATTTCAAAAAGTCAAAGTAAGCTCTATTTTTTATATCTATTTTGTTGTGATTGTAAGGTTGTCCTGTGTTGTAGCTATTTTCATGTTATTTATCTATCATGCAGCTACACTAACTGTTCGCTCATTAAGTACATGGACCGTCACAAAATTAAGCAGGAAAGCAAAGCTTTTCATTTGGTGTGTATTCTTGGAAATAAACCCATTCATAACATCAAGATTTTCAAGCACACTGCAATAGTGTGTACATTTCTATAGATTGTGTCATACTGAAATCTCATTATTATGTGTCTCTTAACATTGTACAGCTCCAAAAATTATTGTTAATGGATCCCACTCGCCGTATAACATCAGAACAAGCTATGCAAGATCCGTACTTCCTCGAGGATCCCTTGCCAAATTCAGAGTTAGTGTTCTCATTCATGCTGAAATCGAAGTGTAGTTTTGCAACTTTTTGCATTCCAGATGACTAATTGAATTCCCTCTCCCAGTGTTTTCGCAGGGTGCCCCATCCCATACCCTAAGAGGGAGTTCCTTACTGATGATGATCAAGATGACAAATCCGATGCCAACAAACGTCAAAATCAAGCTGCAAATGTAAGTCTTTTCTTTACATTCTTTCTCAATCTCCACTTTACCAGTTATTGGTTGCCCGTACCTGTCATATCGGCCAAAGATAGGATTTATTTTTGAAAGCTGCTTTGATTTGTGATACTTCTCTCAGATAAAATCAGTACTACTATTACAGCACCATGCTTTTTAAATTCTTGAAGATATTGTAGTTTTTTCCCACCAATATTCATAATACTTTGGGAAAAGTATGCTGGCACTCCTCTTTTATATTCTATTATTTCTAGTTTTTACCTCATTTTACCAGCTCTCTATCTCAAGTTTCCCCAAACAAAGCAATTTTTGTCTTTAGATTTTTCCCAGTTTTGATGAAATATGTAGTTTGGTAGGTGCGTATAATTTTCCTCACAGGTCTAATTTTGTCTAATTTTGAAAATTAAACCACCTTTGATTTTGCGACATTTTAATTTTAGGTTGTTGTGTTGAGTATAACGGCTTGAATAACTTCTCATTTCTTTGGGTCTGCTTCTGGTTAGAGTTTTACCTTCATCATGCATCATCATAATTCTGAAATCCTTCTTCAAAATACCTTCTGCATCATGTATTTACCAGTAAATTTGCCTGCAGCTCCATACATTTGTTGTTTTCATCTCAATTGTCCTCATGATTATTTATCCCACACTAAAGTAATCATAATTTCATAAATCGTTTGATTTGATCTTAATTTTTTAGTATCATGCTGAGGCACAGAATCAAAGTATCAACATTATTATTTTTTACTCTCTTTGAAATATTTGGTACTCCCTCTCTGGCTGACTCTGCTTGGGAATGGTTCCATTGGTGGCACTTTCCTGTGATATGAGTAACATTTCTCTAGTTTCTTATTAATTTAATTTTAAAAGTTATCTGAAAGGAAATACTTTAACTTGTACATGTGGCTAAATATCCAACACTGTGTCTTACAAAACAAAAAAAGTAATAAAAAGAATGAAAATTGTGTTTTGGTTGTCTTTTTGTTAATAAGTACTTTTTGCTCTGATATTTTTGAATCACTTAACGCAATGTGGTAGCCATCAGGAAAGTAACTATCTTGTTATAAATCCTAAAGAGTTCTTTGACTTGTCCTCCCCAGGGAAATCAGGGGCAAGGCGATCAATCGAGCCACCATGGACCAAATGCTAAGCGAGCTCGGCTAGGGCCCCCACACCCTTCCGTAAGCACTGCGAACACCATGAGCAGTCAGCAACAGCAGCAGCAACAGCAACAACAACAGCAGCAGCAGCAACAACAGCAACAGCAGCAGCAACAGCAGCAGCAGCAGCAGCAACAACAACAGCAGCAACACCAACAACACCAACAACAGGATTTTCATCATCAACAGCAACAGCATGTTCAGCAGAGTATGATGTATCAAAGCAGTCAAAACAACCAAGGTCAAGGCTTCCAAAGATTCTAAAAAATATTAATTTCCATTTATTTTGTTATTTGGCGTCCTTAAACCCATTTTGATTATTTTGTTGTAATCTGCTGTCCACTTGTAGTTAGTTTTTCTTTTTATATATGAGCGTTTAATCTACATTTAACTGAAAGTTCCTTGATGGTGCTGTCTTAATGAAAACATAAAATTAATGATATAGTACAGTACTTTATATTTTCTTAATGATTGTAATTACAATGAAAAGGAAAATTAATTGAAATTCTTTGGAGCCTATTCTAATGATTGACCAACAAATTTACATCAAACTGGTATTATTTTTTCACTCTTATTAATTTGTTTGTATGTAATATTTGCCTCAAGGGTTGCCACCGTCGTTCCCTGTAGCACTACATTATCTAAAACCCTTTTGGCCACTTCAACATTCTACAATTCATTTATCAGGGGATTTGAACGCACCAAATCAATTAAATTATGTTGTGAATTCAAAAGAACCGCAGAACTACAACTCTGTAAGGTTTTTAAATTAAATTTTTATTTTTACCTCTGTATCTTTGGGAAATATTTTATAGTTAAAAGTTTCAGCATTCTCTTGGGTGTTTAGGATGCTGTCTCACATTTCATTGTTTTCAGATAAGTTACTATATATTTTTTGAATATGTTTCTGAGGACAGATTTTTAAAAGTAAATTAAGTGAAGAAGTCCGTATTCTCTTTCTGTTTTTTGTTCTTAATTCAAGCTACTTTGAGAAAAACTTGTTTTTCACTTAGTTTGGTCTTCTTAGAATTTCAGAATGAATAGTTCAGTTCCAGGTTAAATCATTGGCTTCTGTGGCATTTCACTTACAGTAAAACTGCTTGTGACTATCCAGTGTAATAAATTTCGACTTACTGTTCAGGCCTAATGCTGCTTGTTTACATTTTGATTAAGTCAGTGTCTCAGGCGGCGTTACTTAAAACAATTGATGATGAAGTCCATGCCTTACCAATGTGTGCGCCCAACTGCGATTGGAGAGATGAATTTTCATTTGCTTGTAGCTAGTTTTCTCATTAACATATTGGACTCTTTGTGATGGGGTGGGTATTATTAGAGCAAAGAAGCAAGAAGTACAGTTTT